GTTCATTTTCGAATATTTTAAAATATAGAGGGCGCTGCTGTTACATCGATGACGCAAACGTGTTTCATGATTGAATGATTCATTCATGGATAAATATTATTATTATTATTATTAAATAGTCATTTTTCTTAAGATATTTTTGTAAATAGGCTACGAAATTATTATTTTAATTAGTGCAATGGCCATATCAAATGAAACATTTTCTTTTAAAATTCTTATTATTGGTGAATCAAGTGTTGGAAAGGTGTATATTTAAAATTTTTTTTTGTTTTTATTTTTGTAAAATAATCTTGTATTATTTTAATATGGTTTTAGAGCAGTTTGATGACACGTTTTGTTGATGATACATTTCAATCAGCATTTGTATCAACAATTGGTGTTGATTTTAAAGTTCGAACATTGATGATTGATAATTATCCATGTAAAGTTCAGATTTGGTTAGTCAAGTTTTTTTGTATTTAATTCGAAACAGAAAAGAAAATGAAATTCATTTTAGAATTTTTTTTTTTAAATGAACAATTTGTTAATTTTACAATTGATGTTACTATTTGCATTAGATTAGTTAAAACTTCAAATTTGAATCTTGTCAGTGGAAGTTTCTCTTAACCTGTTGATAAAGAAACTTCAACAAATGTTAAACTACTTTTCAGATGAATCCAAACTTATTCGAAATAGTATTGGCATAACTCGAAAAAAGTCGCTGAGAACTGGAAGCTCTAGCGCTTTTTTTAAGCGAAACTTTACGATTGGTAGAAGGGGAGGATGGTAAACTTCTGTCTAATTACGCTACTATTATTGCAACTAGAGATGGCTGAAAAGAATTGATACCAATCAGTGTTTTATCTAGCGGGAGGTTTTGGGACATTTCCCCCCCCCCCCCCCCGAGAAAAATAAACAAGTTTAAAAAAAAAATAAATCTAACTTTTAGAAATTTTTTATGAAAATTCTAGAAGATATTGTCACTAAATATTAAGCTGTCAACAGGAAAGATTCATTATAGTTTTTGAATATAATATATCTATTGCTTCCCATTATTTTTGAATTTGATTGAAAATGTTTCTTTTCACATCATTGCTCATAATATGATGAGGATATGCATTTTTTTCTTTGCCTTTTCAGCATTTATAAGAAGATAATGTCGCATAGGATAATTTCTATCGAATGAATAATATTGCGCATGTTAACAAGCGAATGTATGTAATTTAATTATGAATCAAGCAACATAACATTGTGTATTATACATATTAGTTTAATTGAATAAGAATGTTTAACTGAATGTGTTAGGTCTGTGTTACATTGATTGACTTCAAAAAATCAGAAAGGTTTAAAATAAACACACTTATATGTCTTTTTTTTTCATTTATTTATTCATACTATAGCGTCGTATTTTTGTACTTTTTTTTCTGTCGCATCTTTCAAATCAAATATCGATTATAAACTCATCTTGAGAATGTCAAAACAAAGTTCTCTCGATAAATATTTTGGGAAAAGAGAAGAAAATAATGATGATGATAAATTAGCAAAAAGGAACCGCATTGAAAATGAAAATATTATTACTCAATCAAACACTATTGCAAATGACCCCTGCGATTTAAGCAATAATAAAGGGTGTCCCAAAAGTTTCGACCCCTCTCAATAAATCGATAATATCTATAACAAACTTATACAGAGTTATTGATCAAATTATGCTATTTTGTAGAAGAAGATTAGAGCTATCATTTGATAAAAAAATAGTTGAAGACACATAAATTTATAATAAAGTTATAATCATTTTACTAATCTTGAGTGAAAATTTTTATGTTGCATTTTTTTGAGAAAAATAAAAAAATAACTTTTTTCAAGTAATAATATAAGTTTTTCTCGTAAAGATTTTTCTAAGTAATTATTTTTTTAATGAAAGAATATTTGTTATATTTATCTAGTTTGATTGTAGCTTGTAACACTATTCATATTGGTAAAGACTTCTATATACAAAAGTCTTATTTTATGAAGTTTACTGGTCCGAATTTTTTCTATAAACATTTCAATTCAAATAAATTGGTAAGACGGCATAATTGTGACGAATTAGCCTTCATTTGTCCTTTTACTGTTATCTGACATGCTCTATATAGCTTTAAAATGAACAGTAGAATTTTTTTGATAAAACTAGGAAAACTATCGAAAAGATAAATTTAAGTTATTGGCATATTCGAGAAAAGTTAGGGAACAGTGAACTTCATAAAATAAGACTTTTGTATATGGAAGTCTTTACCAATATGAATAGTGTTACAAGCTACAATCAAAGTAGATAAATATAACAAATATTTTTTCATTAAAAAAATAATTACTTAGAAAAATCTTTACGAGAAAAACCTATATTATTACTTGAAAAAAGTTATGTTTTTATTTTTCTCAAAAAATGCAATATAAAAATTTTCACTCAAGATTAGTAAAATGATTATAACTTTATTATAAATTTATGTGTCTTCAACTATTTTTTTATCAGATAATAGCTCTAATCTTCTTCTACAAAATAGCATAATTTGATCAATAACTCTGTATAAGTTTGTTATAGATATTATCGATTTATTGAGAGGGGTCGAAACTTTTGGGACACCCTTTAAAGTTTTGCATTTTGTAACTTATAGAACGCGATCTGTTGAAAATGTCGATATTATGACTCGACAACATTGATCGTAGCTACTTGCTTACAAACTTATGTCTGCCCTCCCGGCAACTGACTTTGCCCCCCCCCCCCCCCCCGGAACGAAAAACCTGGATAAAACACTGGTACCAATGAATATTTCTTCTTCAATTATGCCCGTGTTAGTTTTTCAATAGCATGATTTGGTTCATTAAAAATCGACTGTCGAGTTGAAAATTTGTACGAAATAAAGTTTATTATGAAAGTCGTAGATTTTGTAGTACTTGAGAATACTATTGTCGGATTTTTTAAAAATGTCAACCATCATTTTTTAAATAACTTTCAATGCTTCCGAGATATTGAAGTCAGGTTTACGTCATTAGATAGAACAATGCGAGAGGCACCTATCTATGTAATATTCATTATGTTTTAGAAAGTTTTTCAAGTGAATATTTTTTCTGTTGCACATTTCTACAAGTTTTCGTAGCAACCTATACTCAAGTTACATCAAAACACAGCCCAGAGTAAGCCATATTATCCATAAAATTTCTAGATTTAAAAAAAGTTTCTCTAGAAGTATGAGTTCAGGTTGTAGGTGAAACAGTCGAACAATTATATGGAGAATACAGCACTCTTCAGACTACATTTTGATGTAATTTGAACATAGGTTACTACGAAAACTTGTAGAAATCTACAACAGAAAAAATGTTCACTTGGAAAACTTCCTAGAACGTAATGAATATTACATAGATAGATGTCCTCCGCATTGCTCTATCTAATGGCGAAAACCCGGTTTTAATAGCTAGGAAGCATCGAAAGTTATTCAAAAAATGGTGGTTATCATTTAAAAAAGCATCCGACAATAGAAAATCGGCTACTCTTCATTAAAATAATCAGTTCAAGAAGAAAAAGTTTGTCAGCACAACTCCTTTATGGTTAAAAGGTGGAACTCATATGTGTTCTTTAGCTTTATTATATTATGACAAAATACGTAAAGTAAAATAAATTCTCTAATAGACTTTAGTTATTTTTCAAAGATAATCGATCATCTTGGGAATGATCTGCCTTATTTATTTCTGCATTTTGAACATAAATTTTTTTCTAGTTTTTGTTTGCCTTCTTGCCGGTCCATTATATCAATAGCAGGTCTCAATGCACTATTATATATCTCAATAAACGCACAAACACTATAATTGATTATTTCCCAAAGTTCTAACTTTGATCACTTCGCGCTTTTAATATTGATCATATGACAACTGTGACAAATCAATACATTATTACTCATTGCCTTTGACATCTTAAATATAAATTTTTATCTGCACATAAATTAAAAACTGCACTATTTAGAACATTAACAAACGTATTCTAGTCATTGAAATTTCTAGAGCAGTCTAAATCTTCTGGTTAATACTATTTAGTGTGCCTTTCTCCTCTCCCTCAATCCATAGCAACAGAAGAGAAGAAATCGCAAACCACAACTTAACATTTAGACCCATTATCTTTCTCTTCGAGAAACATAATATGAGTCCTGTAAAATCCATATGAAGAAACCTTTCAAATTAAAATGTGGATTTTTGAAAATGAATATTTGAAATTATTTTCTTTTTTAAATATTCTAGGGATACTGCTGGACAAGAACGATTTCGTGTGATAACAACAACTGTAAATAATATTAAAGATACTTTTTTTTGTTTTTCGTTCTATTCTTTTTCGTTTTTTAGTATTATCGTGATGCAGATGGTGTTCTAATTGTTTATGATGTAACAAATAGTGAAACATTTTCTCGTATTCGTCGTTGGATTGAAGAAATAAATAAATATTGTGATGAAAATATACCTAAAGTAATTATTGGTAATAAAGATGATATTGCATCTCAAGATGATAAATCATTAAAAAAAGTTATATCAACTGAAGATATTGAACAATATGCTTGTGAAATGAATTTACCATTTTTTGAAACATCAGCAAAAGATAATAAAAATGTTAATGAAGCTTTTTATGCTATTACACGTTTAGTATTACAAAAACGTTTAGAAACACGTAATAAAACTTATCTATCACGTCATAACAATTTAACAAATGGTACATCATCATCTCAAGTTATTCAATTACAAGGATCGAAAAAAAAAGATAAGAAACATAATGGAACATGTTGCAAATAAATATATATATATATATATATATATATATTTTTTTTAACGCATTCCATTTTAATTTTCTCATTGTCAATTACTTTCAATTTATTTTTCTCCTTTTTTTAAAATCTCTATTTTATTATTTATTTATTATTAAATTACAATAAATATTATAATTCAAAAAAAAAAACACAATAAAACAAACAAAATTTTTATTTCATTTTGTAGTTTTTTTGATATCAATGACAACAAATCTTGAACCTGTTCAAACATTTAAAATTCTTATTGTTGGAGAGTCAGGTGTCGGTAAAAGTTCATTAATGGCTCGATATGTTCATGGTATTTTCCGCACACAATATACCGCAACCATTGGTGTAGATTTTCAAGTAGCCATTATTAATATTGGTGAATATAGATGTCGATTACAAATATGGTGTGTTTATTCGTTCAAAACTCTCAAGGATTTTATTAGTCTAAAGGGTTTACAATCTATCGGAATACGAAATATTGAATGAGTTTTAAAGTCTTTCTTCTATGAAAATAATATGAATTGTTTCCAAATTGTACTTAAAGATCTTTTTTCAAGGTTCTGTTGAAAGAACATGAGTCGACACTAATAACAATTTCTTGTTAGAATTTTATTTCTTTTCTTCTAATTTTTGATCTTGTCTTTATTAGATCCATTAAAAAAGATATAAAATAGTACTGAATCACTTTTTTTTTTTAAGGGATACTGCTGGGCAAGAACGTTTCCGTTCGATAACAAGTAAATAAATGAATCGAATAAAATACCTCTAGGTCTTTTTCTTTCAATAGATAGTTATTATCGAGGTGCTGATGGGATAATTATTGTTTATGATGTATGTTTCTTTTTTTTCTTTCTATTATAAAGTTTAATCAGTATTCTTTTTTTTCTTTTTAATTCAAAGGTTACCGATAACGCAAGTTTCACTCATGTTAAAGTCCGATTTCCGGACGTGCAAAATTTATGTGATAGAAATGTTCCAAAAATTCTCGTTGGTAATAAAGATGATCATAATAGAGAAGTAAATAAAGTTGTATTAACCAATGATGCACGTCAATATGCTGAACAAAATAATTTATTATTTTTCGAAATATCAGTTAAAGATAATAGAAATATTACTGAAGTATTTAATGAAATAGCTAAACTTGCACTTAAACGACGTCTAAATCAAAGTGAAAATTTACAAAATAGTATTGCTGAAATACGAATTGAACACAAACCAATTAATGATAATAGTACGAAAAATGGATGTTGTACTATATAAAATGCAAAATTTAAAAGTTTAATTTTTTTTTTTTTATTATATTTTAATATTAAGTATAATATTATTATTTGTTATAAATCAAATTTTTTTTGATAATTTTTATGATTTTTATTTATTAATATATAATGGGAATTCTTTTTTTTATCCATTTATTTAACTAATTAATTCTTGTTATTTTTTGTGTTCTTTTTTTTTAATGAATGAATAATGAGGAAGTCAAAGTTCAATATTAAGGACATTTCTTTATATGCATTTTGATAGTTATTATACATTTTTTTTTTAATGAAGAATAATGATCAATGCATTAATAATGCTCTTCTCATTCAAACAGGATTTTTTTAATGATTCAATCTTTAAAACTAATGATGAACTATTTCTCTTACAATAGTCTGTACTCACTAACATAGATGCTATCATGCAGTGATGGAAAAAGTTCTTTATTACGTTGATGTACTTCAGATAAGCATACAGACATGCAAAACAACGAAAGAAAAAACAAGTATTATAAGTTACAAAGAAAATATATGAAATATTTTCTTGTATATCTTCATGGAAGAAAAACAAACTAATTCTATCGTTTTGATATAGAAAAAGTATTTAAGTAATGAATAATTAATTAAATTGAATTCAATATACTATGAATATGTCTCTCTCTTATCAACACAAATACTATAATAATATAATCATGAGCTTTTATGTACGCATACAAGAAAATTGAAAAAAACTTTTCAGGATTAAGGCTACCTCTCAAAAATGGATCTCAGATTAGGAACGTTCGAATGGCCTAAAATTTTCAGCCCTGTATCATGACATTTGATGGAGGTATTGGCCAAACAAGGATAAAAAAATAGCTCATTTCATCTCCAAAAATTCTCTGTGGTCTTTAGTCTATACATTTAATATCTTTTTTCTTTATTTGAAAGAGCATGTCATAATGCAGTGTCTATGAGAGCCTTTTTTTAAAAGGGAAAAAAGGGATCGAAAGTTCAATGATTCAAAAAAACTCTGAAAATGACGCTCTAATTATATAAATGTTTGTATATATATATATATATACAAAAAGCAAAGCTTAATCCAAAAACTGGGCTTTCGTAGACATTGCAGTTTTACACGTTCTTTCAAACAAAAAGAAACCCATTGGCTACAATGAAGCTCCTTCAAGAATTCTTGGAGATATGATCCAAAACCTATAAAACAAAAAAGATTTTCGGTAACCAGCTTATTTTTCGAATAGGAAATGACAGAAATCTTCAAAAATTTTTTGGAAAAAAACGAAGTACCAAGTAAAAATTTTTGTCGTTTATGAGAGATCAAATCACGGGCTCTCTTTCCTTGTATTTTATCTTAATTTCGATCATTCTGACAAAAAGTGACTTTTTTTGAATAGAGGAAAATATCATGTTATCTTCACTGTTCATTGAATTTGAAATCTGTCGACCTTTGTTATCATGTAAACATACAACTGAAAAAATACTCTGCAAAAAAAGCATTTAAAATGTTATTATTCTTTAGAATATTTGCAAAATAATTGAAGAAAAAATGACTTGCTTATATAATACTTTATTTAGTTATAGAACATATAATAAGATGATAGGACGTGTTGATTTCAATAGAATTTTTATGTCTTCGAAAATGGAATTCATTAATGTTGATAATTATGAGGGGAAAAAAAATTCCTTCTGTGTTTTTTTTCTTCTTCTTCTTCTTTATCTCTTTTTTTTTTACAATTAATCTTTCATACTATTCGTTATATTAAAGGTAACAGTGTGGCATTGGCTTATCCGTCTTAGAAAAGTTTTATTTATATTATAGAAAATAGTTGTAAGAACAAGATGAATTGTACTTCTTTATCTTGGTCAACAAGTACAGCTGATGATCTTAGTCCTACTAGCATTGTCTGTTCCATTGGTGTTATTATTCATACTATTTTCTGGATTCAACTTATACCATTTTCATCATTAAGACAAAAAAATCTGATGTGGTTATATGCATATTTAATAACAGATTTTTTTCTTCTAGCTCGATTTTTTGTTTTATATAGTATGCGTTATTGGCGTATATGTTTATATTATACATTTCGAATAGTCTTATGTTATTTTGAAGCATCATCAAAATTTTATATTAATACAGTACAAAATTATATTTTACTTGCATTAAATGTATGTCGTTGTGCACAGATTATTTTTAATCGAAATGTTTTTATTAGCAATCCTCGTTTAATTATTTTAACACATTTTTTAATTTATATAGTACCAGCACTTAATGTCATGATACAATTTCTTGGTAATTGGACTGTATTATGGCGTAGAGCAGGTCAAGCTTGTGATATACTATATGTATCCTTATCTGTACAAATCTTTAATTTATTCTTTATCTATCTTATTCCAGTTACATTTAATCTTATTATTATTGGATTTTGTATTCGTCATGTAAGTTCAATAAGAGGTATTCGTAGTCAACAAATAATTAATCGTCGTCGTAAACAGAAAAAAACTCTTTTAATTCAAACAATAATATTTTATTCAATTTGGCTTATATTATGGAGTCCAAATGTACTTGCTTTTCAATTTATAAATGTTAATACTGAACCTGCTATTTATACATCTTTACTTAATTATATAGAAATTGCAATAGATCCAATTCTTGTTGCTGCACTTGATGTTCGATTTTTTCAATCATGGAAAATAATATGGCGTAAAATAAAAGGACATCGACAAAGAACTATTGCTCCAATATTACCAGCTAATCCTAAACAAGAATATTAACAGTATTATATTCATGAAATATCATCATTATTCTTAAGATTTTCATTATGTCATTCAGTTTTTTTTCTTCTGTATAATAATTATATATTGACTCATTGTAGACTAAAATAAGTTTCTTATTGATATAAATGATGAAATGAAAGTTTTTGGCAAGTTACAGAACGACATTATTTATTGTAGTGTGAATCGATTGTCTTCTCGGCTAAAGTCACAGAATCAATTATTGAAAATTTGTTTGATTTTACAAGATATTCATGATATCTAACCATCATATATCAGATTTTATCAAAAAGATATTTAGTAGTCTTATATCCGATGTGTTTTCTATTGAATCACAATTCATTAACTTGGTGTATGAGAAGAAGCAGAAATGTAATACATCTTCGTTGGATCCTATCGAATCTTAAGAATTCAAATAAGATTTTGATAGAATCCTTCTTACTAGATTTCCATATTTTCAGAAAGTCGAAGTTTACCTAAAAGTGATTCATCCTGGCCGATCCGAAAGCTTTTTTTGGAAGTGTTTGATGAGACCTGAATATCGGATTACTTGTTATGACTACATATCAGACAAACAAGCAAAATATACATTTACAGTTCATATACTTAATTCATTATTAAAAAAGAACCACATACGATTCAAATGGGATAAAAGCCGCTGGTATACTGACAAATAACCGATGGTAGTACACGAAGCCAGAAAAAATTTGAAGGTGGAAGGTCAGCTCCCATTTCATGCCAAAAACGAAGTATGTTATTTTCTTCCAACATGGAAACGTCCCATCTCTGGTGAGTTTGAGCCTCTTACAGACCTTTCCTGGGTCTACCATTAAAACCAACATATAACATGGAATACCATAGAATTTCTATGTCTAAAACTTTAAAAACACTATTAAAACTTATTTTACATCAAAATTTTGTGGAAATTTATAATAAGCGTCCAGATATGTTTGATTCTTACTTACTCTCTATTTGAATCTATCCGATTTTGACTAACCGCATCTCTTTGACTTTTTACGAACATCCTTTATAATACTATTTGAAATCAATGTAGACAAGTGACATCTGTTGACGATTAATATTATGCTTTTAACTGAAATAAAAAAATTATTCATAATATTTTCAGACGTTTTCAATAAAAAAACTCCGTTTGAATAAATATCTAAATGTATTATCATTCACTTTTTATCCAATCATAAAATGGTCATTGTCGATTCATTGTTAACGAAATACTTTTTTTTTCATTTGATTATCTATATGTTTGTGTATGTCCCTCCTTTTATATAATTGCACAACATTCTTTAGGGAATGTTTCCTAATTTTCAAATGATATATTCATATTTCAATTAATCTCGATTATAATTGTATTAGAAAATACAAGGTTTCAATTAATCAGTAATATACAAGTAATGTAGAATATTCGATAAAAAAAAAGTTGTAAACACAATATTTATGTCTAAAGAGACGAGGTGAGATTCTTTAAAAGACATCATATATACTTATTTCATGCATTTAAACGTTCAAGACAATATCTTAACCATCAACAATGAATGAATAATAATGTGGCTATGAAACAATTTTTGAAAACTATTTATAGATCGTTATTTTTTATTATTTAAAATTATTGATTTCTATTTCAGATTACAAACATTTGTGTTTTCTTTTTCAATTGCTTAAAAATTATCAATCATGTCACTTATTTGTTCACGTATGTTATTTTCTTTTTTTCTTTGTGTTATATTAATTAATTTTTAATTATTTTGTAGTTTCAAATGAAGTTCCAGAACATCCAGTTCTTTCACCTGTATCTGGTTGTATTTATGAAAAACGTTTAATTATTAAATATCTTCATGAATCTCCAACAGATCCAATTAATGGACAACCATTAACAGAAGAACAATTGATTGATGTTAAAGGTATATGTATATATACAATAAATTATTTTATCAAATTTTTATTTATTTTATTAAATATTTAAGTTACACCATTAAGTAAACCAAAACCACCATCAGCTACAAGTATTCCAGCTATACTTAAAATGTTACAAGATGAATGGGATGCTTGTATGTTACATAGTTTTACACTTCGTCAACAATTACAAACAGCACGACAAGGTTTGTTATTAATTATACATAAGACAAGAACAAAAAAAACAATACATTCTAATTTTATATTTAAAATAGAACTTTCACATGTTATGTATCAACATGATGCTGCTTGTCGTGTTATTGCACGTTTAAATAAAGAAGTAACAGCTGCTCGTGAAGCTTTAGCTACACTTAAACCACAAGCTGGTATTTCACAAACTGTACCAATTGTATGTATAAATTTTAATTCTCATAAATATTCTTTAGTTTGAAACTACTTCGAATAGTGACGAAGATATTTTAATTTCTTATAAAACCTGGAAGAAACATTCTCTCATATGTAATAATAATGTTAGCTCACATTTTGTATTCAATGTCCTACCAGTGAATAAAATGTGTCAAAAATCTTTCTGGGAAAGGAACTGAGCCACCATTGGCTTTGCTACCAAAATAAGTTCATGAATTCTTTGAATAAAGAAGAGTATCAAAAACATTCGAAACGATGAAACTCACCGGTAGATCACAGTATAGGATGGCCCAAAAGTTTTTTTACCACTGATAAAGGAATGTTCATAACTCATATTCATAAGAGAAACGTTGACAGAAGCTGTGTTGAAAGATTACAATTACCGTGAATGTGTTAATGGAATACAAACTTGTTTTTTTGTTTTGTTCTTCAGCTATCACTTTTTTATGTATAGACAATGAGGTGTTTGAAAAGATGAGAATATGCATCGCAGACGAAAGCTGCTGAAGAAATCTTTGCAAGATTAAAATATGAAACACGATGTAGGTGTTGTTGTTAATCACAGGAGTATTAATTTATTCTATCTATTTTTCGACACATTTTTTCACTATACTTCCACTTAATCCTCCAGATACGAATTAAGGAAGTAATTCATATATTATAAAAGATCCCGTGAATGTTATTGATATATAATCTTGGACTAGTATCTGTAGAAGGTAAAGTCTAAATTTCTGCCCCTATATTCAGGTCGGTAAAAATCAATGCAGTAAAACGGCGATCGGAATGATTGTCTTTAGTATGCCCTAAGTGTTTTTCTTTTTTAATAAATAAATCGTTTAGCAGCATCCACATGAACAAGCAGCACAAGTTCCACATCATGTAGCAGCTGGTATTAGTGGTGATAATACTCAAATATCAGCATCAACAGCTGAAGGAATGAATGATGAAATTATTCAAAAAGTAAATAAAACAAAAATAAAAACATATATTATTTTTCTTTTTAAAATTTTCTTTTTTTATTTATATTCAATTAGTTACAAGATAAAGCATCTGTTTTAACACAATTACGTAAACAACGTGGTAAACGTGTACCAGAAGGTTTAGCAAGTATTGATGATATGAGAAATTTTCGTTGTTCAGCAACACATACTGTTCGTAAACAAATTATTCTATTGATATTTGTATATATATATATATAAATTTTTTTTATTTATCTAGGCATTACATAGTGCTAGTAATCCAGGTATTTTAGCTCTTGATATATCACCAAAAAATTCCAGTATTATACTTACTGGTATGTATAAAAATTCAAATTGAATTAGTCAATATTCTTTTTTTTAAAGGTGGTAATGATCGTCAAGCTGTTGTATTTAATAAAGATAGTGAACAAGTTATTGCAACATTAAAAGGTCATCAAAAAAAAGTTACACATGTTATTCATCATTTTGAAGAAGTATATATATAAATAGACATAACTAATTTAAAATTTCAATCATTCGATTTTTTTCTATAGGATATTGCAATAACAGGAAGTTCAGATTCAAGTATTCGTGTTTGGCATATTCCATCAGCACAATGTCTTAAAGTTCTTAAAGCACATGATAATGCAATAACAGGTCTTTCACTTCATCCAACTGGTGATTATGTTTTATCAAGTGCAAATGATACTTATTGGGCTTTATCAGATTTACGTACTGGAAAACTAATAACTAAAGTTCAAGATACAACTTCACAAAGAGGTATTGAATCAAAAAATCAGTAATAGGAAATATTTAGTAGTGGGTATTATAATTGAGAAGAATATTGAACCTAAAAAATTTGAAAATATGATACAGTTAAGTAAACTCCTCTAGATAAAAGCCCATTGAGTTTGAAATGTTTACATATAGAGAAATCAAGAATGCGGATAATGTTCATTGTTTTCAATTAAATGCTGATGTATTTGTTAATCTAATTCTTTCGTTCTTCAAATATTTTTCTTATTGGACTAATATTAACTCCGTATGTTAGCTGTGACAAGTCAATAACTTTGCTTTTAAACAATGTTTTTCTTTTATTCTAATTCGTAAGATATACAGGGGGATGGTTGGCGGTCACCCTGCGATAGAGCCCATCAGGACCGATTTGGGTCCGGATGGAGAAAAAAGATTTTTTGTTGTTTTATTCAAAAATCTTTAATTTATTTTTTAAGAAATCTAGAAGAAAAGTGATAAAACTCTTCTTGAATATAATATCTAAATCTATTTGCTATGAAATTCAGGAGTGATAGATTCAATAATCCGATATTTTCCGTATAACAAATACTAACTGTAGTTTTGGACTGAAGGTCAGAGAAACGCAGAGATATCGAACAGCCGTTAGTGACTTGTCCGGAGTCATTCCACGGCTAGTGACATTCAAATTTGAACCCAGCATATAGTCGATACATCTCTCGAACAACGTATCTACTTAATTATAATGATCGAAAAAGTAACAGGAAATTAATAGTAAAACAGATACGATTATGTTTTCCATCTTCCCGGATCAGAGATGTTCAGTCACAATGCTCGAAATCTATTAGTGTAACTATTTCTGTTCTTAAATTCTTAATTGATCGAAATATTTTTGTTTAGAAATTTTCGATCTATTCATAATTTTTATTTATTTAGGATTAACATGTGCACAAT